GCCGCCTCCGAACAGCCAAAAGCCCAGCAAGTTTCCGCCCAGGTTCCGCCTTTGGGGAAAAGGGAAGTCCGCCTCGGCGGGCTCTCCCTGAGGGGTCACACACCAGGACCCTCGTCCGGGGCCCGGATTCCTCTGGCCTCTCATTAGCCGGAGCAGCTGCAGGCCTCCCTCCCACTGCCCATCAAAGCTCGCCTCTGTCATCTTGCTGTCCGCTCCTGGCCAGAGCGGAGGGGGGCCCTGACACAGAGGGGACGGGGTCTCTGCAGGCCGCTGGCCTCCCCCACCAGAAGGCTGTGCTCAGAGGCTCCCATCCAGGGGCTTCTTGGGCCTGCGGAGCCTCGGGAAGTGGGGGAGGCTGAGAGGAAGGCTTTGAAGTACCTCCTGGATCATCCCAAGATTAGAATTGCCTCCTGTCCTTTTCCAGCCCATGGGGGTGGTTTATAAACTTGGCTACACACACTGACTCACCTCTCGTCAATAAAAGTGGTCAGCGTTCCCTTGATTTTGCGTGGGCTTGTGGCTGCTGCTCACAGTAGGGTAGGAATGGCGCTCTGTGAGTTCTGAGCTGGGCTGTCAACGCCCTTCAGCTCCTACACTTGTCACTGGGACATGTGCTTGTTCCTGGGACTTGAAGCCACCATGTGAGAAGCATGGCCAGCTTGGGATCGCCACGCTGGGGAGACCACACAGGGGGCCCCTGAGGCTACACCAAGGGGTGCCCAGACTACCAGCCGCCTGCGCACTGTGGCTACACACCGGACATCTTGGAGCGGGAACCTGCACTCCTACCGAGCCCTGCCCAGACTTCACAGCCACGAGAAAATCCTACAGCTGTGGTTTGAGGCCCCTGAGGTTTGGGGGCTGGTTTGTCAGAAGGTGACAGATACTACAGCAAACTTGCACAGAGGGGGTGACCATGTGAGCACAATGAATGGGCAGGAGGCTGCCCCCGTGCGTGTACGTGGTGACAGTCACACCGATGCAGCCAGCACACATGGGGGAAGTTGTGAAGTACCTCGTGGGATGATTCACTGTCTCACTGCCTGGCTCATAGCAGACACCAGCCATTCCTAAGCCCCAGCAGGGACTGCCCACCTCCTCAGCAGACTCCTGGGCGGAAGGAGGCTGGAGAAACCCAGGTGGGCCGTAGGTACTGTTAGATGTGGACAGATTCAGGGAGCCCTCTCTGTCACACGCCCCTGCCCCCTCAGTCCACGCAGACTGGAGTCGCATATATGCATTTCCAGAACATCAGGGCTGTTACACGTCCACACAGCTGGCTCCACGCCTCAGGGTGGGTTCCAGGAAGACCCTGTATTTGAAGCTGTATTGCAACAACTTACTGTGTTTACTGCATGTGCGCTTCCTTCGCCCATATTTGGGCACAGTTTCTCCTATGCTGCAAACCCTGGAGGGGCAGATCCGTGTCTCCTTCACCTGGCACAGCCCCGGGTGCTCACCTGTGTGTGCCCGCAGGGTCCCTGAGTACAAGTGGTTTCTGGGCCTCCCCCTGCCTGGCCCCCCTCCATTCCGGCTGCCTCCTACGGTGTCCCCCACTGCCCAGGGGGCAGGCCGAGCAGGGGACGGGGAACCGTGCGCTGGTCCTTCCGGCCTGTATGTTAGACCCTGGTGAACGCAGACCCAAACTGTAGTGGTACCAAGAAACGGGCTTCTTTGTCTTGGCACCTGGTTCACACTCAGCTGCTTGTTGCTGCCCCACATTGCCCCCACCTCGCCCCACTCCACCCTGCCACACCCCTGTCTTTTTGCACTTTATATGCAAAGAAATCCTTCTTTTTGGAAATTTTGTCTTTCTCTTGAAAAGTGATTATTTGGAAATTTTCACAATAAACTGAAGCAGGCTTCAATGTTTAAGGATTTATAAAGCAGCACCTTTTGGGGTCCAGAGATGAGGAACACGGAGCCCTGGTGTGACTGTCCCCAGGAGTGACGGATGCGCGCTTCCTTAGAGAGAGGAAAGGCCTTGAAGCAGGTCTTAAGCCACGTGTCCAGACGTGCCCAGCGGCATGGCCGTGGAGTGGGGGGCACATGGATCTCTGGCCCTGCTGGGTTCTCACGGCACTGCGTGGCACTCTGAGGAGCGAGCCCCCCGCTCCGAGCCCAGGAGCCCGCAGCCCTGGCCTGCGCGCAGGGAGGACTTTCCCAGGGGAAGCCCGGAGAAGTGGGCTGCATGCGCCTTTGTTCTGTGCGGCCACTAGTGAGCCGAGAAAGCCCAAGGGCTGGACATGAGAGCTTCACTGGGGCCCCGCAGGAGAGCTGCAGGAGCCTGGGCCGGTGCTGGGAGTGGGGACGGAGGGTCTCGGGCCACAGCGAGTCTGAGACCGTCGGCAGGGCGGACGGTGGCCCCTGAGCCAGCCGCCTGCAGGGGAGTCTGACTGGCAGGAGCAGGGTTGAGGGTCTCCTGCCGCCTGCACAGCCACCAGGAGCAGAGAGGGCAGGTTCACAGCCGGGGGTCACCCCTTGTCGATTACACTCCCAAAGGGGGGTCCAAGTCCAGGGGGCCCCCTTCCTCCTTAGCCCTTTGGTGACAGTCCAGAAATTCAGTGACAGGTGAAGCCTTCCTTCTGTCTGCAGCTGCCCGTAGGCACTGACACAGGTCACGTCACTCCACACGTGGATGAAGAACATCGAACTCAGTTTCTCAGGGCCCAGATTGTCTCCCTTCTCCCAGCCACTGCACCCCTACTGGCAAGGCTGGCTCTTCAGTGAAGGACGGGTGCAACCGGCAGACAGGGAGAGGGTGCCCCACTGATCCACCGCCACGCGCTAGTGAGGAGCCTTGGCCCCCGGCCCACGTCCCCAGAGCCGCGCCCAGCTGGCGACCTCACCCTCTGCCCTGTTCCCAGAGCTGCTGCCGAGGCGAATGAACACAGGTTTGCTCTGAGGTGCGCAGGGACCAGGGACAAGCGCCAGGATCGACTTCTCCTGCCTGTGATGTGAAATGTGATGTGAAAGTGTAGCGAGAACAGGAGGCGCTCCCTCCGAAGGCTAAGATTCCATTTTAAAGAGCAGAATGTTGGAGAAGGAAGATTCCTAACATACTCTCCGTAATCAGACAGTAGCCCGACAGCCTATCCTGAGGCAGGGCAAGCAGTCCTACCTGATATGTCCCCACTGCTTGAGGGCAACCACTGTCTGGAGAAGAACGGGATGAATGAATCCCTGTGTTGGGCTCATTTGGCAGAATCAGCTGGAGGGCAGGGGAGGAGACATGGTGTTGCAACAGAGATAAGCACCTTGAGACCCAATCAAGCCTTTCCCAACAAGCCCCCCTCTGCCCTTTGCCCCATTCCTGGAAGCCCTCAAAGACAGAAACCCCAAACTTAGAGTGCATCTCCTCTCTGAGGACGCCCACACTCCCCTTTCTGCGAGTGTGCACCTTTTTGCCTTAAATAAAGCTTTCTCACTGCTCGAATTATTGCGGTTTGTCTCCTTTCTATTTTACTTTATTTCCAGGTCTTCACTCTGTCTCTCTCTGCTTTACTCCTGATGAGTAGGAAGGGGCTGCTGAGAGCTCATATCTGGGCCTGCACGTTGCCATCGCCTGGGTGACCTGGACGGAGCTGCCGCTGTGCCATCTGCTCTCAGCCGCCTGCCTGAGAATCTCCTTTCTTTGGGAAGTTCTCAGAACATAGTCTCACTCCATCCTGTGCTCCGTGGCTCCCCCAGATCCTGGGCTGGTGGGGGCTGGTCCCCTCGCCGTGCTGATCCAACGGACACAGGATGCCAGGGAACCCTGGCTTCAGGAGCTGGCAAGGGAATCTGCCCCAGGCTGAGAACATTCCCTCTTTCCCTCTGCACTTACCTGCTCCCGGCTGCTCTTGCTCTAATGAGTTCCGTCCTTACCTGCACTCGTCTGACCTGCTCGAGAATTTTCTTGCCCAGAGTCAAGAGCCCTCGCCCATCCAGGCTGAGGTTCCTCCTAGCGCTCACCTAGTGCGCAGGGAGAGAGCCCCCAGACGCAGCTGCCCAGCAACAGCTCCCTCCCGAACTGTGCTCCTGGGGCCTTATGCCTTAACGGGGAGCCCACTGCTCGTTCATCCCCTGGAGGATGGTGGGGACCCGCACTGGCTAAGCCCCCATGCTGCTGCCGGTGGGGGACAGGCCTCCACCCTGTGCTCGGTGGCGCTGCCTCATTTTGCAGCCCTGCACACAGCCCGCGGGAGGCATGTGGCCAGGACCACGCCGGTCCCCCGACTCTGGGTCTACTGCTCTTGGGGGTTGGGGGTCCCACAGTTTCTATACATATGTCTAATAATTTGCCTGACTGAAGAACGTGAATCAGCGGTGCTGGCTCAGGGCGGGACTTTGAGAAGCTCTGAAGGGATGGGAGGGGAGAATCAGAGGCGAGGGCCTCTCCCTCCACCCCGTCCTTCCTTGGGTGCCAGGCTGTGATGGGCAGCACAGCCACAGCGCCGCCACGCGCTGTGTCCTGTCACCAGGCCGCCTGCTTGTCTCCATTCCAACTCTCACCAACCCAGGGGAGCCATGGCTGCATTTAAGGCAATGTTCTTGGATGTGACATTTCACATGGTGTAAAATGGCCTGTTTAAAAGTGAGCAGCCAGTGCCGTTCACAGGGTAGTGCAGCCACCGCCCCACGGCGTTCCAAACCACCTCACCATGAGATAACCCCCTGGGCATGACGAGCAGTCCCTGCCCACCCTGCTCGGCACCTGGCAGCCACCAGTCTTTCTGTGCCTATGGATTCATGCATTCCAGATATTCCCTATAAATGGAATCCTACAATGTGAGTTCAGACAACAGACCATCTGTGTTTGGCCTCCTTCCCTTGGCCTAGTGTTTTTTTCAGGCTCATCCATGTCAGGCATCAGTACATCATTCCTTTTAAGGCTGAAGAATGTTCCTCAGTTGCTTATCCAGTCATCTGTTGATGAACATTTGGGTTGTTTGTACATTTGTCTGGGAGCAACGCTGCTGTGAACATCCGTGTGTAAGCGGTTGGTCAGTACGTTTGTGGTTCTTTCTGGTGGAACTGCTGGGCCCACGGTAACTCCATGTGTCACTGAGGACCGGCCCGCTTTGCTCGGGGGCCACACTGTGTTACGGTCCCACCAGCAATGTACCGGGGTTCTCATTTCTCCAGCCCTTGCCCTGAAGACGTTGAAAGTTGAATTGATCGCTGATAGGTTGAGGAAGTGGCCTCTCTGAAACGTTTTCCTCTTTCACATTTTGAACTTTCTCTTTCACTCACACAGAGAGCTGAGCCTGACGGCGAGTGGGAGGAACGATACTCACAAGTGATGCAAGAGAAATTCCAGCAGCCAGCAGACATCATGCGTCCCTCCACGGCTGCGAGCTGAGCGTCACGTTGCCCCAGCCGCTTCCAGGCGGAGGAGCCTGGCACTCACCGGTGGACAATGGCCGACTGCGAGTTCGAGTACACTCACATGCTGGCCCAGGACTACCTGAAGTTCGTCCTGCAGATGCCACAGCCTGGCCCTGGCCTGGGCAGAACGTCCAGACTGTTACAGGATGTCGCGTTCTCAGTCCAGAACCAAGTCGAGAGGCATCTGCAGCCATGCTTGGACCATTTTGATATTGTGTCTGTAGCCAGTGCCAGAACAATATTCAATCAAGTCATGGAGAGGGAGTTTGAAGACGGTGTCATTAACTGGGGACGGATTGTGACCATTTTTGCATTTGAAGGTATTCTCATGAAGAAACTTCTCCAGGAGCGAATTAGCCCAGATGTGGATGCTTACAAGGAGATCTCCTACTTTGTGGCTGAATTCATAATGAAAAACACCGGAGAATGGATAAGGCAGAATGGAGGCTGGGTATGTGTCATGGAAATACTCATTATCCTTTACTTTGAAATAGAAATGGATAGTGTCCTTGCTAATTAAAAGGTCTGTGAGTCTTAGGCCTGTATAGGTGAAAAACACTTGTGGTTCCAGAGTTTATTCCTAACTGAATTGCAGGGAGCGAGGTCTGGGGACCAGGAAGGCCCCTCTCTGATGCACCTTCAGAATGGACAGGGTGGGGGCTGCTGGGACGTAGCTCTGGCTGGAGCTGTCCTGACGGTGTCGAATCAGTGCAGGAAGAGGTGGTGAAGCTGCTACACTGAGGTTATTTATTATGTTGCCAAAGACGGGTAAATTTTTGTGACTTCATTGTTCCAAATGGATTTTTTTTTTCTGTTTTCTACTACAACAGATTCTGGCTGTTAAGGCTTGTTGATAAAAAATAATATACTGAACCACCAGCAAGTAACTTTATTCAAGACTTTCCAAACAAAAATTCACTTAATTTTCAATGTCTCAAAAACAAGGACCATGGGGGTAGGGTATTTATTAGAACTCATGCGGACAAGGGGACTTTCACAGCTAAATGGACAGGCCTTCCCTTATGCCCCAAACACTTAACTTGCTTTTTGAAAGCACTTCTGTCTCCGTGGACCCTCTCCAACTCCCAGTCCTGGCCCTCCCTGCTGCCCAGAGGTAACCATGTTAATTATGTTGCATGCAAAACGTGCCTAGTGAATATCCATAGAAATTACACATAGTACGTCTTTTAAAAAATGTTTTATGTGTACAAATAGTATGTGGTACTCATGCTGCTTTTTTCCACCAACGGGTGTTTGAAATAGAACTTTAAAAAGTGCTACATACAAGCTGTTGTAAAAGCACTGTTGACTGTCTGGGCTTTTCTGGCAGGTGGGTATTTTAGGTTATTTCCAGGGCTTGCCATCACGAGCAGTACTTCCTCGTGAATGTGGTGCTGGGACCCAGGGTAGGTGTTGGGTACAGCCCGGCTGGGCACTGTGTGCACAGTTTTGATTTACCCCATCGGTGTCCCCAGGTGGCTTTCCCCGGATTCACTCCCCTCGGCCGCTTGTCAGACGCCCAACGTGGCCCCAGCCCCGCAGACTGACAGTGGCAGTTGCAGTCCGTCCCCACGTCCCCACTCTGTTGGGTTAAAAGAATTCCTAATGTACCTTGTTTTAATTCTTGTTTCTCTGCTTGCATCTTTTCATATGTTTATTAGCCACCTATAAATCTTATTCAGGGAATCGCCTATGTACATTCTTTGCCCATTTTCACATTATTTTTTTTTTGTCACTGATTCGTAGGAATTCTTTGAATGTTCTGGATACTTGTTATTTTTATATATGTTGGTGATATCTTCTAATTCGTTAACTATCTTTCAGAACTATAGATGTCTATGGTCCTTACAAATGGGGTAAAGTCTGATGCGATCATGTTCATCTTTTGTCTGGTGATGTTGTATTCTGTTCAAGACCTTGCTGTGTAATGACAGGGTTTTCTACAGCCACTCCCCTTTCTCTGTCACCTTCTCTTCCTGGAACTCTTTCTAACTCAGCCTGACTTGGGCTGCGTGAAGCCTCTGTCTGGCCCTAGTCTCTTCTGCCTGGCTGCACCAGAAAGCTGTAATAGGACTGATGGGAGTTTTGGCTGTGCTGGGTGGGTTTCAAGTGAAGCCAAAAGTTCTCGAGTGCAGAGGCCCACTTGGGAGCCTGCAGAGAAATAGTTTGCAGTCTCTTTATGGGCATCCCACTGCCCTGCGTATTATTCGGAACACACAGACAGTGATAAATGTTACTTAGAAATTTAACTTCTTAACAATAAATTCTGTGAGCTCCTGGAACTCGTAATCACAGGGGCGTGGAGTTGTCTGAGAATTTCTAGAAGTGCACCCCCCTTTTGGGGGTGGCACAGGTGTAATTGTGGATATGGCAGGATGAGCCTATCTTATTAAGGTAGGCTCTCACCCCAGCCAGTGCAGTCACTGTCTGTCGACATAGAAGCATGTTATAGTCACTGACCGCATTTTCCACGCTGTGCTCCCATCCCTGAGACTGATTGTTGTATGATGAGATTTTGTGCCTCTTTATACCCCAAGCACCTCAATCCCCGCTGTGGAACCACCCATCACCTCCCAGTGTCACCTGCCAGGGCAGAGTCTACTGCTACCTGTTTACCTGTCCTCATAAAGTGAAACCACCCAGTACCCGTCGCCCCTGCCCAGCCCACTTCACTCAGCACAGCACCCTCCGGGTCCGTCCATGTTACCACAAATGGCAGAGTCTCTTTTTTATCGCTGAATAATATTCTATCATGTCTGTGTCCACATCTTCCTTTTCCATCCATCTACTGATGGACACTTAGGTTGCTTCTAAGGATAAACCTGTGTCGGGTGGAGATTCAACTATGCACACCCACCCCCACCTCACAGCCTCACAAAGTCCCGATGTAGGTTGTGAGCTCTTGACTTTTACACCCGAACCTCTCAGGTCTTGGACGTGGCAGAGACACTCGTGAGGCTGTCACTCCCCGGCTCCTGCGGGACACTGATTCTGCTGATGGAAGCAGTGTGCTGCGTCAGGTCGCGCCAGCCTGGCAGGCCGGTGCCCCTCCCAGGGAGGCGGGCAGCTCTGTCCAGAGAACGAGCCTGCTTTCAGTGACTCACGCCAGGGCGAGTGACGCAGCTCCGGGCAGTCGCAGGAGGTGGGGTGCTAGCGGGGCACCTGGTGACGTCGCCACCACACCGGAGAAGCACCAGCCTCTCCCTTCCTACCCGCCTGAGAAAACTCAGACGCAGCGCGCGCCCTCAAGTCCGCCATCTGTTGTCCCGTCCACGCCGCCCGTACGTGCTTGTCATTGGCCCCCAACTAACACACATCTGTAGGGAAAGATGAGAAGCGCATCTGGCCTCCAGCCGGACAACACCTCGGGCTGAGTTCGGTTCCAGTATGGCCGATACTTGGTGGGAGCTTGTCTCAAGGACGTGGGACGTGGGGGCAGCCTGAGCTCCGGCCCGGAACGAGGTGGACCTGGGCATTCCCGGGCGTGAGTGTTCACCACGCGGTCACCTCACTGCTGCTCTGCGATGGGGAGGACATTGCTGCCTGTCTCCTGGGACGGGCGTGAGGCCTAGATCTGTCACTGTTGCTTGTCAATCACCCGGAACAGCTTCTGCAGACAAGGATCGGGATGAGGGCAGGCTTAGCGTCGCTGTGGTGCCAGTTTGCCTGACCTCCCGACTGGCACCCGTCCCCACGGGCTGCATCAGCTACAGGGAGGGGCCAGTCAGCGCCTGAAAGAGGTGGCCTCCCGGAGGAAGGTGAGGCGGGTGGTCAGGGAGGGGTTATGGCCTCAGCACACACGCTCTCCTTTCCATCAGCTTCAGTGACTCTCCCTCCCTTGGGTGCAGCTTCCCCTCTTTCCCTCCCTCCCCACCTCACCCTGTCCCATCCTGGTCCTGTCCCCTCTGCCAGGTTGAAGGCTGAAAATGGTGGGATCCGAGAGGAGAGAGAGCTCGTGCTACTTTTTCAGCCGCTTTCATCCTTGTGGGTGAAGGTGGTCCTTCAAAACCCCCAAATGTGCCCAGGGTGCGCTCCCGCCTCCCGCCTTGGGTGGCCTGTGTTTCTGCAAGGGTGGCTCTCCTCCCCTCCCCACTGCCCACCTCGCTCTCTCGTCTGCCCATGGGGTGGGTGGGGGCGCAGGGGTTGGGGGAGAGGACCCTGAGCCCCAGCTCCGCAGGAGGCGTGCAGCCCCCTCACAGCCCCCTTGCAGCCCCAGCGCACACGCCGTGCTGCACAGGGTCTCCCGCACAGAAGATGCCCAGCAGGTATTTGTGGATGGAGCAACTTAACGACAAACATCGCAACAGGTTTGGGTCCTGGTTTCCTATTCACTGGACATGGGATCTTGGGAAAGTCACTCCAGTGGCCTGAGACTCAGATTCCTTACGCCATAAACACGATGTAATTAATGTGAATTTCACACATAATATATAAGGAAGACAGTAATACCCACCGTAGAAGGGAAGCTAACGGACTAAGGGACATTTCTGTAGAAGCGCTTTGTGAACTGCCCGATATAACACAACGCTGGAGGTTATGTGGGAAATTCCAAGACATTTATCTACATAATTTGTTCAACCGTCTACTGCCAACAGGAAGCCCCTTTGAGAGACGCGCAGTCAGAGCCCGTGCTTTCCGAGAGCCGGCATCCCGAAGTGTGAGCCCCAGGAGGCAGGCTGTGTGGTTTTGTGTCCGTCTGTGATGGTCGGGCCCACTTGAGGCCGGTGGAAGGACGGGGAGACATGCAGGCGACTGACAAGTGTGCTGTTTCACAGAGGCACTCCCGCCTGCGTAGGGATCTAGTGGTGGGGTGACATGCTCCCAGCATGCTTACATGTCTCTTGATTAAGTCGATTTGGGGGCCAAATGCTTCTCATATTTCTTTGGAACTGGAACCTGACATTTTAAAAATGATTTAATGGAAATAAGGTGGGACATATTAATTCGAGCCTCCCTAAAGGTCCCTCGGGAACCGTGCCTGGGCCATCTGTCTGACCTCAGGCATTGCCCTTCCTTCACCCACTCCCCCATCCGTCGTGACCCACTGACTACACCTAGAAACGATATGCAGCCAGTGTTTCCAGGCCGCATCCTCTCACTTGGGCACAAGCTTTCCACCCGCATCCCTGCCATGGCCTCTTCAGGGCAGCCAGACCCATCTGTTAACTCGAGTTAGATTAGGTCCTGGCTGAGTCAGAACCCTCCCAACACCCCCATCCCCAGAACAAAAGTGCACAGCCCTGACCCACACACCCTCATGCACATCTCCCTGTCCGGGTCCCAGAGGACTCAAGGATCTGGCCCCTAACCACCTCTCTGATCTCCTCCGCTATGGACTCCCGTGCCCACCTAGCTCCGGCCTTCCTGGGTAAGCTCAGCACACTCACCGCAGGGCCTTTGCACTTGCTGCCATCTCTGCCTGAATGATCTCTCCCCGCAAGTCTGCGTGGCCGCCTGGTTCCTTCACTCAGCTCTCTACTCCCCCATACTCACCCCGCCTGAGGAGGCACCGCCTCTCTGCACCTGCACCCTGCTTTATTCCCTCACGACCACTCTCTCAGCTGGGCATCCCATTGCAGGTTTATTTGCTTATCTGTTTTTGTCTCTGTGAGAGAATTTAAGCTTAGTAAGGGCAGGGATCCTGTAGGTTTGTTTCACTAGTGTGTTTCTGGTGCTTAAAACACTACCTGTTTTAGCAAATGGTTGATGCTCAGTAAATATTTCTCAAATAAATAAAGGAATGAATAATCAGAAGTGGGAATAGCACTGTGGCATTTTTCTATAATTTAAAACAATTCTGAGGGTCTGAATCTTCTTTGAATTGTTGATACAGGGTACTATTCCATGCTTTAGGCTTTCTTGAGCCAAGGTAGCTGAATTTAATAAACTATTCCCAGAAATAACCAGACACGGGCATTCCCTATTCACTCTGTATTATTGGCAGGATATCGAATCCCTATTCAGATATTTATTTTTACATAATCTTTAAAAAAAATATAATGGTTTCGATATAAAAATAGTGCATTAGTAATACTTTTGAAAGATGAAAAGTCACTTCCACCACTCTAACATCTACCTGCATCAACTACATGCAATTATAATACCGTGTACCTGGCGTTTTCCATGTGACATTGTAAATACCATATGTTCTGCATTGACCTGATTGTCCCACCAATTCATGCATCATGATTTACTTAACCAAATCCCAGTTATTAGACATTGGGGTTGTGAACCATTCTCCCTTCTTAGAAATAATGCTTCAATACGGAACGTAGGTCTGTTCCCCCTATTCCGTATTTAAGAAGACCACCCTGTGATCAGCTGAACAGCAGGACAGCTGGTTTACAGATGACGCTGCTCACACTTATCAGAATACGTACTGCTTTACAAAGAATTGTATCAGGGAAGTGTCACAACTTTACCCGCCTTGGGCAATACCATTAAAAATAATTTTGAGGGTTTCATAGACTTACAATAACAAGGTCAATGTAATAGGTCTAAAAAACAGTCAGATTGTTAACGTGTGACTCTGCTGACCTTCCCATACACGGTTCATGATTTTTGCCCCTCATCCAACAGGCTTTGCCTTTTTAACTATTAAGAGTAGATGATTATTCTCCTCTCTTACACTTGAATGAACGCTTTTGTGGTAAATGTGAATATTTTCTTTGTTCGTTGTTTTTTTCTTTCTTTCTTTCTTTTGTTAAAATACACATGATAAAATTTTACCATCTTAACAATCTTTAAGCAGACAGTCAGCGCTCCAGATACATTCACGCTGTTGTGCAGCCATCACCACCATCTCCAGAACTCTTTCCATTGTGTAAATCTGCAGTTTACACCCATTAACACCAACTCCCCACTCTGCCAGCCCCTGGCAGCTGCCTCTACCTTCTGTCTCTATAATTTTGACGACTCTACGTACCTCATGTAGTGAAATCACGCAGTGTTTGTCTTTTTGGACCGGCTTGCTTCTCTCAGCATAATGTCCTCAAGACCATCCAGGTTGTAGCATACCACAGAGTTTCTTTCCTTTTTTAAGGCTGAATAATATTCCATTGTCTGCATAGACCACTTTCTGGTAATCCATTCATTAGATGGATACTTGGATTGATTGCGTGTTTTAACTATTGTGAATTCTGTCATTCCTTCATTTTAGTTTTTTATCGTTTCTAAAAAGATTTAATCTTCATATAGCAGAATTTGTCAGCTTTCCCTTTATCCGCTTTCACTGGCTTCGAAGCTGAATGTATGTAAGATGACACGCGAGCTGTCCAGTGATTGTCGCGATAGTAAATCATGTCCGAGCGCCTCGTCACTGGGGTCATGAAAGCCCCAGGCAGGGGAGCCCCGCAGTGAGCGTGTGTGAGCGCAGGGGAGGGAGGGGAGGAGAGGGGGCGGGGGAGGAGCAATTTGTTCCCGCTGTGGTCATGCCAGGACAGGCAGGCTGCCCTGGCCTGCCTCTGCGCTGCCAGGGGCGGCAGCCGGCTCTCCTGGGCGGCCTCTCAAAGGGAATCTGTGCTGCTGATGCTGAGGTGAGTGTGTGCGCGGCCCTGCGGAGCCCAGTCTGACCGCCAAGGGACACGCTGGGTTTACTCTTTGGGGTCAGTCACGCTGGGCTATGAACGGCTCCGTGACCCAGAATCTGGAACTCGCTAGAGGCAGAGCAAATGTTTACTAGATTTTAACAGCTTTCTAAAGCATTCGGTGCTTTTGCAAATTCATGGAGTGAAAACAACAGCGTTTGCCTTCAGATACGGTCAACGGACAGGTCGGGCACCATTAGGTGACTTACGCCTTTCTGGGCTTTCCTCAGCTTGAAGAGGAGAGAGGCCATCAGGCTGGGCGACCTTAGGGGCACTGTTGAGCAGGGATGCTCTATGATCATAGATCACCGAGCACACTGTCCAGTTCATACTGTTTTTCAAAGACTGTGGTCAAAAAGAATGAATTGTAATAGAAATAATTAACAATGTTTTCATAGGCTCAGAGGCACTGATTTACTCTGATGATCTCAGCACAGTTTCAGTGCCAGACAACTGACAGAGAAAGAGGAAAAATGAGACTTTCTGTCCTCTGGGTCTGTGCTGGATGGCACGGTGGCCACTAGCCACCTGTCCTGCTGAACAGCTAAAATGTGGCTCGTCTGAATTAAGATGCTCTGCAAGGACACAATACACACTGGATTGTAAATATTTGGTGCCAAAGTGTAAATATCTCATTAACAACTTTTTATTGATTTCATACTGAAACCGTAATGTTTAGATAAATTATATATACTTTAAAAATTAATTCTACTTATTTCTTTTCTTTTTTAAAAACGTGGCTGCTAAAAAATTAAAATTACATGTGTAGCCGCACCACATTCCTGAGGGACATGTGCTCTCGGGGGGTCTGGAGTGGGGGAACAGAATGAACTCCGTGAACGCAGAGACTCATCTGCGGCACTACTGAAAGTTTCTTTGCTTTTATTCCAGCAGAATTGGTCTCCACTGATTATTAAAATGTTAAATTTATTCTCTCACAGGAAAATGGCTTTGTAAAGAAGTTTGAACCCAAATCCAGATGGCTGACTTTTCTGGAAATTGCAGGAAAGATCTGTGAAATATTCTGTCTCCTGAAGCAATACTATTGACTGAGGACACTGGATATTGCGAAACCCCCTAATAGTCTCCACTCTTGCACAAAGTGTCACCAGCACTTAGTTCTACTTGTAAACAAACAACTTTGATGATGCAACTTGACGGTCTGGACTTCTGGACATTTTGTCCCCATTTTAATGAATAAATTGTATTTGCCTCTGTATGCAGTTGAGTCCTGCCTGGGATCCCAGCGAAAGGGCGAAGCTCAGTCTTGGGGCAGGTGTTGAAATGAAAAGGGTTTTGACCAGGAAGGGGGGGGCGGCGTCTTCTGCCCCTAAGGACTTTTTAAGGCTGTGCCCGTTACCCCAGGGTCATCTAGAGGGCACAGTGCATGAGGTCTGCTCCGCTTCCCTCTGGGCCTCTTGCTTTCTGGATGTTTCTTGCACCCCTGGGCATCTAGGGTTGCCCCTGATGCCCTGCCCTGAACGCTTCACTCCTTGGCCTCACCTTTAGGATTGATGGATGCCAACTGATGTGCCAGATGCTCTGGGATGGTTTGAACAAAGACAATGAGGTAGATGATCCAGTGTCAAGCTTCCTTTAAGTTTGTTACTTTCCATTAAAAAAATGCCACACGTTTTGTCGGACCCTGTGCTCGTTTTCAGGTCAGCACATTAGCTGGCAGTCTGGGAGCACCACGCCTTGTTCTGGACCTTCCCGCCTCCTTGTCCTCCCACGGCACCTCCTGTGCCGCCTTGGGCCTGGCACTGACCTGCTTGGGAAGCTGCCGCAAAGCCTGCTGGGGAACCCAGAGGCCGCCTGCTGGTCACGGGGCCCTGTCCCAGCACTCCAGGTAATTCCTGCGCCCCCTCCTCTGGGGCCGGACTGTGGAGACTAGGAACTGGGGCGAGTCGGTGGGGAAATGCCTTTGACAGAGCAGCTTTTGCTCATCTATTAGACCCCACCTGGGGGGCGGCTTCTGTGCCAGCTGGGGCCTGTCTCACCTCCTTCAGCCAAGCGCCGCCCCTGCCCCTGCTCACGTGCATCAGGTTTTGATTCATTCTTGCTACGTGGTGAGTCAGTGTCTGTTTCTGGTTTGTGACCTGGTCTTTCAAACTGCAGCTCATGGTATATTTTATTACTTTACTTAAAAAAAAAGTCTTTATGAACCTCAACTCCTACTTCATACACAAAAATGAACGTGAAATAGATCATAGACCTGAATGTAAGTTAAAACTATAAAACTCCCAAAAGAAAACGGGAGAAAAACTTCACAGCCTTGGAGTAGGCAGAGATTTCCTTGCTACACAGCTAAAAAACCTGAATCAGAAAAGAAAAACTGATAATTTACAACTCACCAACATTTTTAAAGTCTACTATTAAAGACACTGTTAAGAATTCAGAGGGTATGTGAATTATATCTCCATAAAGCAGTTAAAAAAAAACCTCCAAAGAATACACTCAATGATTCTGTAACATCTTTCTATGTTGATAGATAATAAAATAACTGCACTAGAGGCGGTGAGGATCTAATAACATAGGTGACCGTTGAACCCCTGTGTTGTGTATTTGAAACCAATATGAGACTGTATATCAATGTACTTCAAAAAAATCCAAAAACCTCAAACGAGCAAGCCACAGAGGAGATACTGTATGTCGCACTAATATCTGACAAAGGACTTGTGCCTGGAATATATTATCTTAAAATTTAATAACTATACGACCATCAGCCTAATTTAAAACCGGGAAAGAGATTTGAATGTACATTTCACAGAAGCAGATGTTCAAAAGACACGGGAAAGATGCTGGACACCACAAGTCATTCAGGAAATGCAAAATCAGCCACAAGCCGACCACCGCACGCCTGCTGGAATGGCTACAGTGAGAGACGGGCAGCATCAAGCCCCGGGGCAGCTGGTGAGCACCTGGGGCTCCCACACCCGCCTGGTGGTAATGCAAAACGGTACCGCCACTTTGGAAAACAGCTTGGCAATGTCTAATAAAATCAAGCTCACCCTTACCACAGGGCCATCAATTCCACTAACAGGTGTTTACGCAGAATGAAATAAAAACATACGTATCCATAGCAGCTTTACTCATAATCACCATAACGCCTGGAACCCGCCTGTCGGTGGGTTGTTCGGCTGTAGGTGAGTGGGGCGCCAGCCGCAGCCCGGCCCTCGGAGGCAGCACTCCTCAGCAATAAGCAAGAACCAAGCGCGGATAACGGGCAACGGGATGGACAAATCTGAAGGCGCGGAGGGAAGGAAGCTGGTCGCAAAGCGCACAGGGCATCTTCCATCATGCACAGGAAAGCAGGGGGCTCCCGGCGGCAGGAGAGGGGTGGTGGCCCAGCTGGGGTGGGCGGCGGTGTTTAGGGCGATGAGAATGCTCTGTCTTGATCGTGGAGGCAAACATTTGCCAAATTTCATAGAGATGTTCACTTAAAACAGGTGTATTTTACTGTAGATAAATATCTCAACGTAGCTGATTTTTATAAAAGCTTGTTTTTGTGAAAAAATGATAGCCCTCATTATAAACAATGTCAACAGTAGAAAACTACAAAAGGAATAAAGACCCTTCACCCAAATGCTAATTCCCACTACTGCCGCCCATATAAAATACGGAAGCATGATTATTTCCTTCCCCTTGTCGTTTGGAAGGGATCTGGGCTGCGTGTAAGGCCTGCTGGCAATCCACCAGGCCCTCGCTCCGGTCCGTGACCTCCGTGGTGGTCTGTCCTGTAGCTTCATTGGCCTGTTTCCAGGACCTTCCGCCGCAGACCTTTACACGTGCTGCTCCCTCTGCTTAGACACCTCTCCACCCCTCACCTGGCTAAGGCCTACTTGCCCTTCAGATTTCAGCTCAAAGGTCAATTCTTTAGGAAAGCCTTCCCTGGCGAGGTTAAAATAGTCTCTCAAAACATCATTATCTCAAAGTTTCACATTTGTGTGATTTTTAGGTAGCAAAAATGTAGATTTCTAGATCACTCACAGAATAACTCTATGAGGGCAGGAACCACGGCTGTTTGCACTCAGCTGAGCCTAGTTCAGAGCCAGGTAAAAGCTCAAAAAGTATGTTTAAAAAATAAATGAATGGACACAAATTAGTCTTGCGAAAGGCAGCCCACGAGGCCACGGTGAGGGCGAACCTCAGGCTCCCAGGAACAGCGTGAGGAGAGCCATGGCTGTGGCCTGGCCATTCTCCACGTGCTGGGACCTCTAGACGCCCCTTTAATCTTCATGCAGGCCCTGGAGTAGCCATCACATCACTCTACTTGTTGTAAAAACAGGCTCCGAGCAGGAAGAACTTTGCCCAGGTCACAGGGGGTTGGGTGGTGGGTCAGGCTGGACCCTAAAGCCCATGCTGGCCCTCAGAGCCCTGGCCTCCCTGCTCGGTCCGTCCTGGTCCCATGGGGCCACTAGGCCCCCTACTTCTCCCCACTGGCAGGTTGAGCTGTGCGTGAAGGCCGGCCAGGTGGACTGCTTTCCCCACTGGCAGTGTGGTCCTCAGAAGGGGACCCCATTCAGCAGCAGACACCCTAGCGAGGTGGCATCTCTTTGTGGTTTTGATTCGCACTTCTCTAATGATGAATGATGTTGAAATCTTTTCATGTGCTTTTCATGAAATCTTTCCTCTGCGGTGTACACGGTATGTTTGCCCATTTTTAAATTGGATTATCTTTTATTGCTGAGTTGTAAGAGTTCTTTACATATTCTGGGCCTAAGTCCCTCATCAGGTATGATTTGAAAATATTCCTGTTCCACAGGTTGTCTTGTCATTTTATTGATGGTGTTCTTTGATGCACAAATGTCTTTAATTTTGACATAGTCCAATTTATCTTTTGTTGCTTTTATTTTTGGAGTTATAACTAAGAAACCATAGCCTAAGGAGATGGAGATTTATGCTTATGTTTTCTCCAAAGAGTTTTGTTCTAGTTCTTATATTTAGGCATTTCATCTATGTTGAATTAAAAATTTGAGTCTGGTGTCAGGTAAGGATCCAACTTCCTTCTTTTCAGGTGGACATTCAGCTGTCCGAGCACCAACTGTTGGAAAAAACTATTTTTCCCTACAGAATTATCTTGGCACTCATCAGAAAAATGAGCTTTAACTGTAAAGGTTTGTTTCTGTAATTTCAGTTCTTTGTGATTTTTCTACCTGCCTATCTGTCCTTAAGCCATTACCACACTGTCTTCATTACTTAGCTTTGTAGTTATTTTTGAAGTGGGGAAGTGTGTTTTCCAACTTTGTTCTTTTTCAAAATATAGTTATTCTGGGTTCCTTGCACATCTATATGAATTTTAGGATTAGCTTAATATTAGATTTCTGAAAAAAGGCCAAATTTGATAGGAATTGCATTACTGTATGGATCAATGTGGGGAGTACTGCTATCTTAACAAATTAAGTCTTCCAGTACTTAAACATAGGATGTCCTTTTACTTTTATAGGTCTTTTTTCAGCCATGTCATGTAGTTTTCAGAAGTTTAACACTTCCTTTGTTAAAATTATTCCTAAGAATTTTATTTTCTGATGCTCTTGTAAATGGATGTTTTCAACTTGATTACTCATTACTAGTACATAAAAATATACTTCAGAGTTCTCTAGAGAAACAGCCAATAGGAATACCTATATATATACACACACCTTACATCTTATTTTATATACCTTATATGTACCTTATTATGAAGATTATTATGCTATATAATCTGTTAAAGTTATCTCCTTTTTTCACATGCACACACACATTTATAAATCAAGAGGACCAACAGGAGATATCCATGAACAGATTTAATGTGAAGAATTGGCTTACACGATGATGGAGGTTCACAAGCACAAAATCTGCAGAGCCACCGTGCGGTTTGAGTCCAAAGGCCATAACCTGAAGTAGAGCCAACCAGGAAGAGCCAGAAATATGCCCCAGTTTGAAGGATGTCAGGCAGGAAGAGTTGTATTTGTGTATTTATTTACCTTGTGTCCTGCAACTCTGCTGAACTTTATAGTTCTAACAGATTTTTATTGGTTCCTTAGGATTTCCTATATATAAGATCATGTCATCTGTGAAGTTTTTTTTCCTAGTTTGAATGCCTGTTTATTTTTGCCTAATTTCCCTATGCCTCAACTTTTAGAAAGCTCTTTATTCACAGAAATTAGCACCTTGCGGCATATGTTGCAATTATCTTCTATTTTTGTGTATAGTTTTTTAGGCCATGCAAAGCTTAAAAACTTTCATCTAGTCAAATTTGTCAATCCTTTATTACCTCTGGATTTTGAATCATAGTGATAAAGTTAAAGATGAATTGCCCTCTTTTCCTTCTAGTACAATGCCCCCCCCAACCATGTTTCCTTACAATTTTTCAACTTTATGATGGTGTGAAATCAATACACATTCAGTAGAAACCATTCTTTGAATTTTGATCTTTTCCCAGGTTGCTGATGGAGAGTATGATCCTCTCTAGTGATGCCGGGCAGCCACAGGGAGGTTAACCCCGGGATCAGAAGGGCAGACGGCTGACACATCCATTTGCACTCCTGCATCCATTGTTTTTCCCTTTCAGTACAGTACTTGGTAAGTTACATGAGACATCCAACACTTAATTATGAAATAGGCTTTGTATTACATGATTTTTCCAACTGTAGGCTAATGGTCTGAACATGTTTAAGACAAGTTGGGCAAAGCTATGATGTTGGGCAGGCTAGGGGTATTAAATGCATACTTGACTTACATTTTCAACTTAAGATGGGTTTCTTGAGCTGTAACCTCATGTAAGTGGGGGAGTATCTGCCCTCGGCCGTCTCAGCTTTGACACTAGAGCCTCAATCCATTTGGAGATTTTTCTTTTGTATGGTGTTAGGTTTGGACATTATCTTTGAAAAAATGGCTATCCAGTTTTCCCAGCACCAGTTATTAAAAAGTCATTGCCGGTCCCAGTGACCTAAGATGCCGCCTTTATCATACGCTACTTGTCCATGTGGCTCTCGGTCTATTTCTGTGATTTCTGCTCTAGCCGCTGCTCTGTCGTGTATTCCCGGGGCAACAGGACCCGGTTGTGAGCACAGCAACCTCAAAGCATGTTGCCGTGTTCAGAAGGGGTAGTTCCCCCCCAATCTCTACCCCTGCTCGATCGTTTTCTGCGTTTTCCTATTTTTGAATGCTTGTTTTCCCAAGCTTTAGCGAAGTTAATTTATTAACATAAACCACTGAATTTTCACATCAACTTGCTAAGTGTTCCCTAAACTTCCTATTACCGTAACATTTAATTTCTTTATTGATTAATGAGCCCGTTCACCTTTTCATCGGGTCACTGAATGGGCACATCTGAACTGCGAGGTCGCCTCCCTCCTGGAGTCACCACCGTCTTTCCTCCCCATCCGGGCCCGCCCCTCAAAGAGTAAGAAACCTGGCCCCTCGGCTCCTCCCCACCCGCTCCGGGGACAAAGAGCTTTCGCTGACGGCGCCGGCTCCAGGCTGGCACAGCGACCAGGCTGCGGCACCTCGAGCCGAAACCAGCAGCGCGACTCGCTGCGCTGGATTCCCGCGACGAAGCGCGGAGACGGGGAGAGGAAGGGGTTTGGCCAAAGGGAACACAATCCACTTCCTCCGGCCGGTAGGGCCGCCTCCGCCCACCCGGCCCGCACGTCCGCTGCGCGCGGACCGAGGGGGCGGGTCCGCAGACCCCGCCCGCAAGCCCCGCCCCGCCCCGGGGCCCCCGCCTTGGCACGCAGCCCCACCCCCGCGGACCCTGCACCTGGCGCAGAGCTCCGTGCCTGCCCCGTGGGCCCACACCCCGCCTGGTCCCGAGGACGCT